GCATTTATTCATTACTACAGTCATGAAATATGTACTCCTTATCGAGATATTTCTAACCTCGGAAATGGCAGGCGCTTGCTTCTTTTTTGCAGTACGTCTCTTCTTTTGTTGAGGAACATCATCCTTAGCATCAGTAGGTTTATTGTCACACTTTTTACTTCTAGATCGTTGCTTCAATTTCCCTTTTGTTACGGACGATTGTTCATTGCTAGCAGGTAAACTTTGAATCTCAATATTCACATCCTTATTAACACCATGAGGAATGTGGCCATTTTCTATGTCTGAGAGTGCTTTTTTAGGGATGCTAGAGAAGGACCGTGACCCCAATCTGCCCAATGAACCAGCACTGAGGACATCTATGGAAGGTTCATTAAAATGTAACCCCCTTCCAAATTTCGGCAGTACAGTACAGAGCCACTTTGGCTCAAATTTTATGGCATAAACTCTACAGGGAATTCCCCTGGTAGCCACACATGTCCTTGCTCGGCGAGGGAGTGTGTCAATTTTTTTAATACTTCCAAAAGCAAGATATTGTAAATGAATTGATGAATGATTCTGAAATGCCTTGAACTGTAACTTAAAAGAATTTTATTTAAGAAATTAAGAGTACAGTGTTGAGAGAGACAAATTAAATAAGTAGAAGATAGAAGACATGATTCTAAACATTACAATGGAGCTTACATATTACTCACTCTATCCTGATTTTGTTGTCAACTTTTTTTAGGATGTCTGCAATTTACTGTCCAATAACTATATTTAGTAAAGGTTAATTTGAATTGTCAAAAATGCATCCTGAAAAGTATATTACCATCGCTCACATAAATGAAAACAAGGTAATTTCAGGGTTTTTTGCTATTTTTCCCATATTCAATTCCTTAAACTTGAGATGTTTTGAAAAGTGTAACACAAAATAGGACGGGAATAGAAAACACTATCACATACACATTCACCCTCGAGACCTAAATAAACCAAGTAATCTTGTATTGAAGTATACAATATTTTCCATCCTCGAGCGGAAGAAAACATTCCTAACGGGAACCTATCTTTAAGGCATTAAATATTCAATAACAAAAAAGAAGAAGAAGATTGAAACTGGTATTCTACCTCCAATTCAGTACCTTTCATCTTCTCAAATTAGAAACTCATCACTTACCATTATGGTGAGACAATTACTAGGGGCAGTGGTGAATAGTTGCTTGTGACCATATTGCCCTGATGTTGATTCATAGTTGCACATTTCAATACAAATAACATGATTATAGATGATGATGTTGAGGAAATACAGAACTTCAAGATACGATCAATAAATATCTTTTGCAATGATGTGATGTACTGTTATGTAATAGATGTTTCTAAAATCCCTTTGCAAAATCCAAAGTTGGTTAGTTTACAAACACACAGGAATCAGACTCTTACTCTACCTGTTGGTTCAAACAAAACTCTTGCTCTTACTCCTACAGCCTAAGATGTGGGAGAAATAAAAAACTCCTTGGGGTTTTTAGATTTTCTAGAAAACATTCACATTATTTTTTGGGGTGAACAATCACATTGTTAAATATTAACTAAGATAAATGTTATATTTCAAAAATATCCCTTTATTTCTAGGTTTGAATTAACCAAAAATTTTGCATTGTTAAACGAATTTTGTAAACACGACACACATTGGTTTAAAAGACTATGACCCATTAAATAGTTGTTACTTGGGTACTTAAACTTTGCTGTTCTAAAAAACAAATAATATAATCATAATTGTTATATTGGTTTTTAAAGTCCTTTAAGTACAATAAAGAGATATTACACTATTTCAAGAGTAATTTAGCCCTTTAAACAATAGTATAACACTATTTCAAGAATTTACACTTACAATACAAAAACATTAACTACCATACCTTTCTGTTCAAACTTTAGGTATGGGCATAATAATGAGGATTTGCAGCATGTACAAGTTTAGTACACAAAATTTTGGCAAAAAAATGAAGAGATATAATATGAATAGTATTACATGATGATATTTATTCTTCCTGACAACCCGACCAGGCGGCTCCTTCTGTAAATGCTTCTAGGGGTGTTCATTGGCCCAAGACCGGACCGAAGACCGAAATGGGAAAAAATTAGAACCGAAGATGGGACCTATAAGTGTTCGGTTTTAGACTGGACCTAACCGAAAACCCTTAGACCGGACTGGTTTGGACCAAAAAGACCGAATTGTACTAATTCTTTTACTTTTTAGAATTAAATTTTTAAATGTTTTACAAATAAAAAAACCCTACAAAATGTAATTATACCCAAAAAAGACAGTTCATCACAAATCATAATGGGGAATTAGAGATGCAGTTGTATTAAACTGAAAAAACTTCATCATGCAATTGTATAAAAAAAATTGCAGTAACTTGGATTTTATTTCTTCATTAGACTCCTTCCAAAATTGAACCAAAAATAACAATTCATCACAAATCATAGTAGGGAATTAGGGATGCAATAGTATCAAAGTAAAAAAAAACTCAATCATGCAGCTGTATAAAAAAGTGTAGTATACAATTGTACAAAAAGAAAACTATCCTTGGGTAGAAGAAACCTTTTAAGAAATTGGGTGGTTTATTCAAAAGTAAAATTACAAAATACCTAATCTGTGAATCGACTATCACGAGAGGAAGGCATCCTGCGGAGCTGGATTGTGGGAATCGGCAGTGATTGCTGAGTATGGTGGCGACTGGCTGAACGATGAAAGCTGCGGAAATTGGTGACGGTTTGAGAAGATGGAAGAAGGTGCGAATCAACAGGGCGGGCGGAGAAGATGACCGAGAAGATGGAGATTGTCGATTCATTAATGCTACTATCCTCTTTTGTCGATTGAATTTGGAGTGAAGACTGAAGAGGACTCCGGGGTGAGAGGGAGAAACCAGACCAGAGAAACGGCCACTACTTAATCTAAAATCTAATATAAAAAATACAGAGTTAATAGAAGAAATGTATAAATTAAAATTCAAATAGAACTAAATATAAAATTAACATGACATCTAATTATTTAAATTTGTATAAAATATAATTAAATTTGTACAAATTTCAAGAAAATCATTTTGTTATATCAAAGGACATCTCGAAAAATAATTAAGAATTTAAAAATTTACAAATTTACAAATTAAAAAGTTATAAATAAAATTTTTAACAAATTTAAAACTAAAAATAAAAAATCGAAGAATAAAAATGAAGAAGAAGCAAAGAATAAATTGAAAAATGAAGAAGCAACAAAGACCAAAGAAGAAAAGAACAAAAAAAAAGTTGAAAAAGTTGTTTTACAAAAATGTGTTGCTAGAATCCATGTTCTCAAAATTTTCAATCAAGTTCAAAAATGAAATAGTTTGAATCCATGTTCTCAAAATTTATTGGAAATTAATGATTGAATTTTTAAAAATTTGATTAACCCCATGCTTTGAAAAATGATACAATTGAGATCTAAATTTTATTTAGTTTGATTTTTCGAGTTTCCAAACAGACCCTTAATTGAGATCTAAATTTTATTTTGTTTGATTTTAAATAATTAAAATGAACAAATACATTGAAAAAGAAATACTATTAATTATTGAACTTTTAAAAACATTGTCTTCAAAAAGATTCACGATCATCTTTTATAAGGTTAAATATGCTTTTGGCCCCCGTAAAACGGACTATTTTTTCTTTTAATCACTCCAAAATATTTTTTAATTAAAACATCCCTAGTACTCCCTCTATCCCCACTTATTCTTCCTATGTAGAAAAAAATATACAAAATCATATCTCTTTTAAAATAATTTATTTATAACTTGGTAAAAAATAAAAAATATAAATTACATTATTCAAAACTAAATCAAATTTTACAAAATAATGTGTTACAAGAATATTTTATTTTATCTAATGGTCAATGTCTTCAATGAAAACATACATACTAAGATAAATTTTAAATATGTTAAAAATATAAAAAATAATATTTGGGAAGGATATATTGCAGAACTATATGACTTTAGATGATTCGATACTTACATTAATTGAGTGTATGATTAATTCACTCTCAAATCTGATATAGATGAATTTTAATTTTTATACATAATTCTATAGCTGGAGCATTGTAGGGGTGGGCACGGGAAGGGACGGGTCAGATCACAAGCCCATCCATCCCACTTTGTCTCATAATTTTTGGATCTAGGACAAAACGGAACAGATTCGGATTGTCCTACTTTAATTTGTCCTTGTTCGAAATTTGAGATGAAATATACAAGAGGATGGAAAGGAAAATCAATGTTTAAACTTGCAAAAAAATTATAAAAATTAAAAGTAATAGAGTATTTAATAAGAATGTCTTACAACAACCTATACAATAAGACAATATAAAAAGATTAAAATGGAATTATTAAAAGGAAGTATCGAACAACTAAACAAAGAAGAATGCTAGGTTTGGGCCAATTACTAATATAAGATTGCCTACTCGAGAGTACTCCGTATATATTCTGGGCCAAACATAAAATATCAAGACATTAACTGTATATATGTTTATTGCTTCATATATATATATATATATATATATATATATATATATATATATATATATATATATATATATATATATATATATATATAAATAACCATATTATAAGAGTATATAAATCGGGACGGAACGGTGCACTTTTATGGTGTACCAGTGATGTCCCATTTAGAATTGGGACGGAACGGGTTCGGGACAAAAAAAATCAATCCCAAATAAAATGACGCAAAAAACTCTTAATTTTAGGGATCGAATGCAGCTTTTAATGTGTCACATTTACTCTTGATTTATATATTTCTAGAATTATTTTATTTAATGTTAATGAACCTTTGGTTTAAAATGTTGACCAAGCATCCTTTTCTCTCTTGGATATCCCAAAATCATTGTCTCAAATTTCTCATTCCTTTAAAGGAAAAAGATGCCTAGGAATTTAGCTCTCTTTTATAGTACAAATTGCAACACTTTTCAATGAAGTGAAATTGTGAGAGCATAAAACTTTTCATTGGCTTACAACTATAAGTTTGAGTTTTTTGGCTGAATTGGTTCTTTGATAGAATCCAAAGCAAAGGAGCCCCAAATTAGGCATCATACATTATGTTTTTCGTTTGAATTTAAGAATAAAAAACACCTTACATTGGGTCCATAGTAGCAACCGGCGGCAATGGGAGCAAACAACGCACGAACAATCCAATGTTCGTGCGTTTTCATGTGAAGAGGGATCCAAGCTCCAGAGTTGATCTCTACTCATGTTCTCCAGTCCATTTGCAATGTTAAAGAAATGTCCTCAAAGTGTCATTTGACTCTCATTAATCAGCTGTTCCAAGAATCAGTAAATTCTAGAGAATCAAAAAAATTACCACGTCTGAAAACTAGATTGTAGAAAGCACAACAAGCAACGGTTTTTCTTTTCCTTTCAAAATTTGAAATAAAGTTTGAGATGAAAATTGACAGAATCCGTTTTTCGTAATCATAGCCCAATGAGCCCTATATGGTGTCTAATTTAAGAGCGTGTTCTCTTCAACTTATTCTTTTTACTTATTCTTATTGGAATCATATCAATCAGAAATAGCTTAATCGAATCAGATCAGAACCAACTTGATAAGTTAGCCTGTACATATGCGACAAAAAGCACGTGCATATGCGACAAAAAGGCATGTGCATATGCGACAAAAAGGCTTACCTGGCGTGCATAAGAGTTTAATCATGTCCTCGTTTTCCCGTCCCAGAGGCTATTTCATCCATGCTTTGTCCCCTTCGCCTATACTTACCACCGGAATCCAAGAACGAAGGACAAGGGCGGTATGCCTTTATAGGCCACCAACCGAATCCCGGGATTGTAGCTATCCCTCCTTGAATCCTTCCCTCTCCATTGCAACCTATCTCCGCCACTTCTTTGCCACACCCCTTGCAACCCCTGCAACAACCGTGCCATTGTGTCAGAGTATAAAACTTTTAAATGATAGGGAAGGAGAGAGATATTTTTGTAGAAAGCTAACTTGAAAACAAAGACTTGAAGAGAGAAATTTTTTTATTAAAAAAATATTACTCCCCCCAGCCATAAATAAAGGTTAGAGTTTTGATTTAAGATTTTGACTATAATTACTTTCAATTCAATCTATTTTAAAATTGGTATAGAAACAGAGTATAAAATTTATATATCTTAAAACTACATCAAAACTTCTAGAAAACAAGATGTAGAAAACTACATAAAATGAGTAATGGAAATAGGCAAAGATTGTAAATAAAACTTAACCTAAAATAGTGAATGAGACTTTTATTTTAGGACGGAAGACGTAATACCCTGGGGAAAGCAATGAGCCAGAGTCCTGAACGTGTGTGGAAAGGACGACGTCATCAACATTAGGAGTAGTGTGCTCTTTAACCTTCTTCTGATCTTTCCTGCGATTTCTGCAATATACAAGGGAGGAACGCGATAACTTTGTCTGCTGGTACGATAATGCCCTTTTTCGGGGCGATGAGAAAGAAAACTCTCTCTTTGGTGGTTTTGCCACTTGGAGAAGGGAAATATTTCTTCCGGTGATGGTGGACACGGTGGACATTCTCTCTTCGGGCGCTCTTCTCTTCCTTGCTGTCGTTGTGCCTGGAGGTGAAATAGAAGTATTGAGACAACCAGCTGACGAATTCAAATAGGAATTTTACGATCATAACAACGCAATTCAACTCAAAACTGAAACTTTCCCTCGGTGCATACTTAACTTCTTCCAAATCTATATAAGCAGTGATTAATAACATAATTATTGAGCATCAAAATTGTAAGAGTGCATTTGGTTCAGTTTTTGTTTTCTTGGCTGCGCCCAATTATTTTATCGGTGACAGATTCTTTTGGTGTTTCTTGATAACCAAGCACTTAGGGTTCATGAGTTTCTAATTCTGCTAACAGAGTACTGCATTTGTTTTAAATTCTGAAAAGATTAGACTTGTTTAAGAATATGAGAATCAATTCCATCAGTCGGGTAAAATCATTCTACATTCCGGAAACCGGAATCACCTCATTCAAATATACCTTATTCTAAAGTTCAAAAACAACTTTCCCATGAACCCAAACCAAATGCATTCCTAATTCATTAAGAAAATCAGATTTTGAACAGTAGAATAATAGCCAACTGATTTTAAGCAGAAATTTAAAAAGAACACAGCACCAGCTGGTTCTAGCTTCATTTTTTTTTATAGCTTATTTTGAGAAACAGAAATTGAACCAAATGAACCCTAAATCCGATTCTCGCAATTAAGATATGTTTTTTTCGCAGATATTACATATAAGAAATCTCTAACACAAGGAGTTGAATAGAGGACGAGCCTCCAATCGAATGGAAACAATAATTACAAATGTTTGGGGTAAATGAAATAGAAGAGGGGGGAAAATGGAAAATTACTAAAATCTGAAATTGTTGTCCAGTAAATTTAAGTATTTATAGTGATGAGATCAGAAACAGAAGAAAACCTTGGCTAACTGATAATCTCTAACATGCCATAAGAAGAAGACGAAGCAGAAACGTGTGGCCTTATTTGACAACAATGGAGAACTGAGTATGAGAAATCATCTTATCATGTTGCAATACTCCAATAATCTCTTTTTTTTAACATTTTTGTAAAGGAGGACACTTTTGAAGATATTTGGAGTGCATTTCAAAACAACTTATAAATAAGAATTAATTCTAAATGTTTGGAAATTGTCATTAACTTATGATTTATGGTTTTAGAAATAGTAGAAATTAAGATGTATTCATTTTAGATTCTGTAGTATTTTTTTGGATTTCAAAAGTTTACGGGTATTCAATCTAAATTTAAAAAAAAACATTTAAAATATGAAGGTATTCAATTTAAATTTTAAAATATCCTTTTAAATATAATAGTATTCAAAAATTATCGATTTTAAAATATTTTTGTAATATATGGTAATATGGATTTTGGGTTTTGGGTATAAATTAAAATCTTAGTCCAAAATCTAACAAAAAAGTAAAGATTTTGCAACTCCACGAAGAGTTGTCTCCTTCATCGTCTCGCTCAGTAATTGCAAGATTGTTTAGTAATCCAATCTTCCTTGGCGAGTCCAAAATCTTACTAAATATTTTCAAAGATTTGTTTTATCTAATTAATACACCATATAATTCTTAGAATAAATTTCATAAATGGTCCATGATAATATGTGGTTTTTCATATTTAGTCCCTATTTATCAAATAGGGACTAAATATCTAGTCCTTCATCACTCTTACTCTTATCGATCTGTTTAATCCAGGGCTGAAGCGGTAATTTTCCCATGTCTCAATTAAACTCCTCTTCGTCCTCACCTATCGCTCAAAAACCTAATCTCAGCCTTTGTCTTCAACACAAAATCACAGAGCCTGAATGTTATTGTCTTCGTCACATATGAAAATTTGAATGCATGAGCTTAACCATGCAAATAGAGGCATTTGTGAGGAGAACAGGGGACTAGAGGTGTTAATTGAGAGGTGAAAAAGGTAGGAAATTAGTTTTTTAGCATTAAATTTAACATGTAGACAACAACATAAATGACAAAAGACTGATCATGGAAAAGAACTAATGAAAAGGAGACTACGCTGGTAATACTTGATAAGTAAGAACTAAATATGGAAAATCGTCTATTAGAAGGGACTCATAGATTTTTTATTACTTAATTGATGAAATAATACTCCATAGTTTGTTACCTTTTCTTTGTAGAACTTTTAATATAATTTTTTAATTTCAATCCACTATTTTAACCCGTCCCAAGAAAATTTGTTTTAAACCGGTGAGAGTACATTTTAACAGATATAACATATACTCCCTCCGTCCTAAAACTTTCTTCTCAGTTTGACTTTTCTCCATTTTTAATTTTTGGCTTTGACTTCAAATTTTACCCTCCTTAAAAAAGATTTTTTGAAATTTTTTTTTACAATCATTCAAAATAGAGTTAGAAGATAATTGGTGTAAATACATGAGGGTATTAATGTCATTTGTCATCTTTTTTTTTCTAATGGGAAGGTAGTTTTAGGACGGAGAAAAAAGGGAAGTGGGAAGAAAGTTTTAGGACGAAGGGAGTATTTATTAAAATGTTGTTCAAAACCTGCAGTTGATTTCTTAACAGCTCACCAAACGGTACAGGTTATGATTTGATTCTATTTATATACGTAGTAGTATCCAAACATTTCACTCCGGTAGTTCATAAGGATGAAAAGGACGAGTTTGTAGATTGTATTGGGATGAATCAAAATGAGGCACTTGGGACTACATGGATTTTAGAAATTATGTACCAGGTGATGTCTTTCTTGACAAACTTACTCACATAGCCTGGTTTGAGCATTTTTCTTATATCTCGGGTTTGAGGATCCGACCATTCGTGGTCTATGGTAATGGAAGCCACAAAAACGTCCACCTAGGAATATCTCACAGCAGTTCTCATTGCAAGAATGAAATAGCAATTCACAAAAACTCACATTTGCTCTTTCGTTGAACACATTGTAGAGATTTACACGAGCAAACGTTTCAGATGCAAAACTCAACTCTCGTTCAGTCCCAAATTTACAGACATTTCTTATTTTTACAGTTGCTTAAGGGTGGTGGAGAAATACAGAAATGAAAATAGAAACCCGTATACACCCCCCCCCCCCAAGGTTCAAGTGTTGCCAACTAATAATCAAAGAATTGCGCTGTACCTCATAAATGTTATGGAAGAATCTCTGAAACAAAAAGAAAACATTATTAGTTTCGCCTTTAAGAAACTCGGAGTACTTTGAACTTGTATGTATACTACGGAGTTATCGCATAGCATAGCATGGCATACCCACTTCTCTCTCTTTCTGAATAAGATATGGCTTGCAATGAAACTCTCTTTTAGGTAAAAGCAAAAATCCTATCGGCAATCTTTGTCCGACAAAGTGGACATTCGACGCAAGCTAGTGAACACGATTTGCACACTGGCAAAGATAAAAGAATAAAACATAGTTAGCTACAAGCACACCATGGAACACACAGGCAGAAGGAAATATTATATATATATATATATATATATATATATATATATATATATATATATATATATATATATATATATATATATATATATATATATATATATATATATTGCAGATGCAGGGACTTACAGCAAAAATGACGGCAAGGAAGAAGCATTGCAGCGGCAGGAGATTCGAAGCACACTTTGCACACATGCGAATTTGCATCCCCATTCCCCGTATACTTGTGCTCCTTTTCCTTCATCTCTTGCATTCTTGCCTAAAAGGGTTTTTATGAATGTGCACACAACAAGAGTACCATGGTATCATTTTCTTTTCTTGAATGCCCAAATGGAATATCCAAACAAAATGTAGTAGTTGGGTGAGGATTAAATAAGGGCACTAGAATATTTATGGAGTATATATTTAGTTTAACTGAACATACATATGACCTACCAAACTACACCAGAATTTTACTTAGCTGGTGCAAAGTTCCATATGATAAATATGTTGGGCTATGTTTGGAAAGCAAAAAATATTGGGGAAAGGGAAATAATATTGAGGAAACTCATTTTTTTAATGTTTCTTCCACTTTGGGAATTCAAATGTAAGCGAAATACTACTCCGCAGTATGTAATCAACTGTTTCTAAGAGTTACACATATATTTATATGCACATTCCTTTCTTAAAGAAAGGTCTCTCAGAAACAATCTCTATACCTTTTCTAAGAGTGAGGTTTACATACACCCACCCACCAAACCCCCCATTCGTGGGGATTATACTTTGTGTTGGTTGTTGTAAAGAACTACATTAATAAATTGGGTTTGAAAAAAATTCCCAACTTTGAATCATTGAGCTCGAATCCATTTTCCCTCTTTTCAATGTTTCGCACTATTTTCTTCATGGTTTCTTCCAAAGCTATCTATTTCTTTCGAAGTCATGGTCATTCACATGTTGGAAAATGGGTGAGGAAAAAGAAAACAAACCTTCAAGCGAGCAACAAGAGGCTCTTCCCTTGAGATGTCGGAAGGTGGAGCTTTATAGTCAACGGATTGGGTATCCTTGGAGATAAGATTCTTGCATTCAACTTCATTAACTTTCACCCGATTTAAACAATCCACCCCATTTTGAACATCCGTGGTCTTTGCCTCTTGTCCAGCAGTACTTTCTTTCTTAAGTTGTGCAACTAGTACCCACATATTAGCCAAATCATTTTCAAGGGCAGCCTCCCTTTTCTTTGCCTCATCAAACTTCTTCCTATACTCACCTTCTACAATTTCCTTCTCAGCCAATACAGACTCTAAGGATGCCTCCCGTTGTTTCCTTGCCTGCAATTCTCTCTTTAGATCTTCAATGTCCAACTCCCATGTGTCAAGTTCATCATGGCTACCTTCATTTATTCGGCCAATCATGCGACCTCTACGACCTGTCCTTGCACTGTCCCCATACTTGCGGTTTGCACCATTACCCGACTGCATATTGAAACTCCTGGAAGTCAATAGCTCTCGAGAAGTTGCTGATAATTCTTTTTCAAGTTTCGCATTATGCAGTGATAGCTTGGTGACCTCTTCAGCTAAGTTCTTCAATTCAACTGCAGCTGCAGATGCCAATTCCTTTGCATACGATGATTCTTCAGACAATTTCTGATTTTGTACACGCAACCCACTGTTCTCCTCTACAATCTGAACACCTTCTAACTTTAATCTCTCGTTCTCAATCTCCTGCTTAGAGTAGAAGCAGGTCTATTAATTAACTGCATATTTCCTTATCCACATATTTGGCTTTATACGGAGTATATCACTTCATGAGAATTAATTCAGCAGCCAACAATTACCTGGGTTTGAATTATCTTTCTCAGTTCATCTGTATAATCAGAAAAGCATTTTTCAGAAGGGGACACCTTGTCAGTCTTTGATGCACCCAACTGCTGCTCTAGTTGACTGATTTTTTCCATCAATTCCTTGTTCTCTAAACACTAAAATTATAAAAGCAAAATAATATTAGCTAATAAATTCAGAAAAGAATATAGAAGTTCAAACAGGTAGCAAAACGAAATGAAAAAACTACGAGCAATTTCACGGACCATGCTCTCCAACTGTTCTTGAAGGATACGATTGTCTGCGGATTTTATCTGCATCAAAAGATCAAAATATGCTATTTAAAAGAATACTAAAACATGGTTCGTTTTTATTAAAAAGGTCAGAGATTATCAATATAAAATGTACTGACCTCAAGCTCAAAACCCTTTTCACTACATTGGGTCATCAATTTCAGCAGTGCCTGTAATGAAAAACAAGAGGACTAATTATTAATCCAGAGTGCGTCTTTTGTTACAGAGAGTTAATGACATAGCTCTGCAGCAATTGAGATAGGAAATCATATCACAGATGCACAATGTGAGATCACCTTTTGCATTTCAACCACTGATGCATTACCACTAGCTGCTTCACCACTTTCTACAATGCGTTGTTCTAAAATCCTCATTTGCATTTGCTTCTCTTGAATTTCACGCTCAAGAGTTTCAATCTATTGAACAAAAAATAGTCAGCTCTATTTTAGTCCAGAGCCAAACAAATGACAATACCAATAAAGTAGTTTACAACCAATTCACCACACAAATTATATCACTCTTGCAATTTAATGAAGAACTTGCTTGTAACTAAAGTAAATATAACATCACTGATGCTACTCCATTCCTGAAAAGCATGCTAGTTGTGATCAGATCATGGCAGATTTTTCATTTTCAGTATATGAATCCATGTAGATGCACATTTTCTTTGTTGAGTTAGATGCTTATGCACTTTTGAGTGTATAACTGTATACCGAACTAATTTTTCCATACTAACCGCAAGCATGTGCCTTTCTGTTCCAGACACGAATGCATACCTGACTTTTCGAGTTTTCTGGATCATTTGCAGACTGCTCCTTTACACGTTTTAATGTGCTCATGCCAAATGCAATCTCTCCAGCAAGCATCTTGACTTGCTCAACTAGAAGATCGATCTGATCAGCCATGCTTATCCCTTCCTAAATAGCCAAACAGAAAGCAGAACATACAAGTAGGGTTATCAATAACCACATAAATACAAAGTGCAGTAATAATTATAGACTTCTGGACAGTCATAATCTTAAGTGTAAACGCACAGTAAGGTCAAACTATACTCATCTGATCTATTTCCAAGTATTTAAAACATAAAATGAAAGGCACTGGAGACGTACTATGGGCAGTTTTGGACCACATGATGAAACACTAATAAGTTCACCAACTTGCGTGGATTCTGTAATTGTACTGCCAGCTTGTGAGCTATCATCATTCCATTTGCTGGAAGATCTTCTGTGATTAAAACCAGAAGTTTCTGATGATGGGTTATTCTGATTCTCATGGTCTATGAGCAAAGAACCCTCGCGCAGAACATCCAGTTTCTGATCAAAGGGACGAGGAATAGCAATTCAGAATTTTTGTTTCAAAATAAATATTACTCCGTATAAAATAAAGGCATAAGGACACTTTGGTTTGGAAGGAAAACAAAAATGAGTTTTTTATTAGTAATAAATGAGTTTTTAACATATGCACTATGAATGTATTCTCCGATTTCTTTGTAAGAAGATTGCAACAGGAAGGAAATTGGGCATAAAACTCAATACGTTTTTTTCTGCATAAGTTATAGTGTACTCCCTCCATCCCATATCTTTCTTCGCAGAGCACTATTTCAACTTCACGAGAACTTTTATTTATTGGCATTTTTAATGGCCTATATGATAAATTAAAATATTCTTGTCACCACTTGTTTTGTAGAGCTTTTGATGTAGTTTTTAAATATGTAAGTTTCATTTTTTATTTCTATACCAATATTTCAATATAATAGATTGAAAAAAAATTGGGATTTTTCTTCGTTTTGCACAATGCGAAGAAAGATATGAGACGGAGGTAGTAACTAACTTTAAGCAATTGACGCTAAATTTAATCTCATGGACCCCAACTAGATGGCAATAAGGTGGTGATGGGATTGGAAATGTATTCTTGTATTCTGCGGTGTGATGCAGACCTTGGCAAAGTTTTAAAACTTAACTAAGCTGAGGTGATATATTGCAGACTTTTTGTACGAGATCAACTAAACCAAAAGTACAGGCAGCGAAAAATCGAAAATCAATAATATATAAATCATGCTAGGCTGCATAACCTACATCATCTTCGGAAGCAGAATGGCTTCGTTGATGAGAACTGGACCCATCACCCAAGTACCCAGGAATTGAATTCTTTGAAGAAACAAGTATTAGCTTGGTAAGCCTCTGGATTCTACTCAGTAGTGCAGCTTTGGCTTCCTCTTCCTCCTCCAATCTTGATTGCATTTTCACTTGTCCTTCTTCCAACTATTAATGAACCACAACTTATAAGTTGAAAGAGGATAACAGGTGGCCACATACTATACCATATGTGTGGCTAAAAGAAATAATTTAAGACCGCTGAAAGAAGAAATAACGAGAGTCTGAGACTTCAGAATCTACCTGTTGTCTTAAGCTCATAATTTCTTCATGACTCACACCCACGAGCATTCCCCTCCTGAACTGATCAAGTTCTTGTTTGAGACATGAGATTTCTTTTTGATACTTCTTAATCAAAGATTTCTCATCAATAATCTGTAAATTGTTTGTTTTCACAATGTTAAACAACCCCATCCAGAAAATTTAAACAAGGTCAATTGTGTAAAGACAATGAATAGGCAAACCTTATTGCGTGAGGCATATATTTCAACACATTTAGCCCTGTTTGCAAATTTTAATGTGTTGTGTGTTTCTTCCATATTGCTTGAGGCAGGAGTAATTGTGCATATAAGCTGGGTAGCAAGAAAGATGGCATGTGTGAGAAATATGATAATGGCTTGGAAAATATATTCGCTTCAAATCACTCAATTAGCTCCACGTGTGAATAAGTGAAGGTTGAAAGTCCCCTCCCTCCCCCCTCACCCCCACCAAATACATATGCACACCAAAAGCAAAAAATGTACTCTGAGGTCCCAATGTTTCCGTTGACTTGCTTTTGGGAACAGGGACCAAGAAAATGCGAATAAAAGTGAAAATTGACAAGCATGTCCTCACTTTATGTATAGTCTATAGGTTTCAGTTAAATAATTGATGCTGGTTTGAAGACAAATAGGCAAATTTTGTGCATTCCACTTACAGAAACATGTCCATGCCCACTCAATGACGACTGTAAGAGGCGGGTAAGCTTTGAGTCTCGATACGGAATATGTGATGCCTTCCCTTCGCTTAACTTTCCAATAACCTAAAGCATTTCAACAGACATGGAACATCACATGTGTAAGACAACAATAACAACAAACCCAGTAAGATCCCAATCATCCCACAAATCCCACAATAATTAAGGTCTAGGGAGGGTGTGTGTATGCAAACCTTGCCCCTACTTGGAAAGAGAGAGGTTGTTTCCAAGAGACCCCCAGCTCACACAGAGACACATAGCCATAATGTTGTGTAAGAAAACAATATGAACGTAAATAACTCTTTTCTTTTCTAAGAGTGGTAGCCTGAGACACTTTCCCTCTCAACCAAAGCATAAGTTTCAAGGAAAGGAGGGAGAAGGGAGGGGGGCATTCTCGAATGGCATTGTTTGCTCAACGCATTAACAAGTATAAAAATAAGTTACTACCCAGTTATAACATAATCCATATTAGGGCATTTGCTGCTTGGTGCTTACAGTTCCAAGAGTCAGAAGACTTTTGTTTATGAAAGATCCTTCCTTTCTCCTCAATCCAGTTGTTTCTGTTTTTGAGCTCTCTGATCCAGCTAAATCAATTAAGTTCTAAATCAAAAGAAAATCAATTAATTGTAGGATGCTGATAGAGTATGGGAGAATCCAATTCAGGGAAACAAATATTATACACTTACAAGTTGTGAAAATATTACTCCATCATAGTCATCTCCATGGGCACTACTTTCAATCATCTGCAGAAGAAGGCAGTATTTGAATAAAATGCCAAAATGTGGCAAGAAGCGAAGGAAGACAGCAGATTAAAGTTATTTGACAAGAGAAAAAATACATAGGAAAGGAAAATGAAACGTCAAATGTGATGAAATTAGCCAGTTGTTTCTCTAAATCAAATTCCATCAATGAAAAATGCCTACAACAAGAAAGAAACACTTACTAATGAAAATATTGTGTGACTGCGGCTACTAAACAGATTAAAATTATTTGAACCGACGTGACGATGCTCTGCATTATAGTACACAGGGTCATATGCAAGAAATTGCAAATCAAATCTATTTTCAGAATATCAAGATAGTTGATATGGAGTATATCATATATATCACACAATACCTTCCCCAGCAGCAATGAATGACAGTACATGACCCGGAGACAAAACAACTTCCTCCTTTATACCCTCCACGTAAGTACCCTACACACATAAGGAAATCTCACAGAGTAGAAACATTAACAGTAGCAGTGTTAGGCTCCACCATGAATCTCAAAGCTCTACAGGCATTGGAAATCAATTGAAATTTCTTTTTCATCACTTAAAATCCATCAAAGAATATCAGATTTCTGTGTGTGAGGTGTGTGCAAAATTCTCATCCGTGGAAACAAATGTTAGGAGAAGGTTGTGTACATATTGGTGTTCCCTCATGGCAAGGCAGGGAGCACTTGGTGCAACGATGTTGGCCCTTATGGTCAACTCTCAAAGTACTCAAATGGGGAAGGGAATGAAAATAAAATTTAAATTAAGGATGCACCAAATGCAGCCCCACCCCGAAAAAATGTAGGGCACAAGAAAAAAACCTGAGCATCTTCTCTAACACGCAAATTCTGGCCAGTAGGATCAAGCAAGTCGTTGATCACCTAATAAAATGAGAGTGATGATCAGGTGCAGCCTTCACAATTATGTCAGAATATGCAGTAGGCCACAAAAAACAGTATGATCGTCTTCATTGGCATGCTTGTGCCTCGAGAATGCATACATTTTTTACTATCACACAAAAAATGTAGACTGCATGCAACAGGAAATGCCTAAGAATTCAGTGTCTCATACATTAATGCTCTTTGACATGTGCATGCCTACACTTTTTTGTTTTTATGAATACGCTCTGATTTTCACATAAAAAAGTTAATAGGAGGAAAATGCACAAATATGATAAATTGATAGTGAACATGAAGCAAAAACTTACCTCGTTATATATCTCGATATATGAAACTCGAAGCAAAAATTCACGGCCAGGAGTCTGAAAGCAAATCATTTTAACTCAGAGGAAAAAACAAAAAAACAAAAGTATGCTCAACGTGAAACACACATGTGTAGCATAGTACTATATTCTCAGATACTCAGTATATAGGTATATCACACTGTGGAGAAGAATTGGGATAGAAAGGACATTTGTTCTCGACATTAAATGCAAAATACATCAGTCACTATATTTATTCATCTCATCATGTTAGCTGAATTAAAAAATTGGAGTCAAAATTCCAAGATAAGGTAAATTTTCAAGAACTTACATCTTGTATAATGCTGAAAACATCCTTTATTGCCAGTGGAATTATTCCAGGTGAACTATGATCTCCCTGTTAGAATGTCAAAATCCAACTTGTGTGAAATATAAACTCATGAGAAAAAGAACACGAGCATAGGGGCTATCGATAAAAAGGAAAGATCATAAGTTTCAAAACAATATAGTATAAACTGATATAGTATGTGCAAGACAATTTTATTTTATTCTATTGCATTTATGTGTTTTGGTGAAAAGGAAATGCAATAAAGCTTTTCTCCAATTCAAACAATTAATTTAATAAGGCAACGCACATGCATAGTATGTGTCTTTCCGCTACTTGTAACACCATAAGCAAATACAGTCCCTGCAACATTAGAAATGATGTTATATAAATAAACAAATATGTAAGGGTGTCAAACTGTCAATATAATTTCTGTGATAAAAATTGAGTTGGTCAGTTCTTTCCATATAGAACCTAAATCCACACAATATATTGCGGCAAAATTCAGCATTGAAGAGTATTGAATTCCATACCGTTTATCCCTTCCATTGCTGCCTTGACCACTGGTCTAGCAGCTACTTCATAAACCTCCTGAGTATGTGTATCAGGTCCAAACACTCTATCTATAAAGTATAAACAGAGTAGCAAACGCATTTATTCATTAGAGCTTGAAACAAAGCCCATTCAATCAATTAAAAGTAGTGCTTGGCCATGATCTCGACTAGGATTGGCAAGTCAACCAAAGAGTGGCTAGAAAAGGTACCGAATGCATAAGCGGTGGCCGGATGATACTCGTTCCTTACAATTTTATCACCTTCTGCATACCATGCGTTCTCATCCCCTCTATGGTATTCCCGGTCACTGGCAAAAGAAGTTCCATAATGAATGAAAAAATATCAACACATTGTCTAAAATCTTAGCCAATACAGCACCAGACAGATCTTATCCAATTCGAGCAGATCTAGAACTTACTTCATAGGCCGAAACCTGATCGTCACAGATATGCTATCACCTGCTCTAGACGTATCCACCTGCTCGGCAAGCAGCTCATCCGCGGACGGAAAATGAACTTCCGTGTGATTTCCGTAACCTCCCGAGTATCCCGAATCACCACGATTCCGCGTTGGCGTCCTGGATCTGGACTTATGCCCATTACCTGAGCCGTAGAACGACGTCGCCGAGGACGAGCACGACCGAGGCACGATCCTACCGTTCGCCAGAGACGACGAAGACGAAGACGACGAGTACGGACTCGACGGCTTCCGGTGGTGAAACGGCGAGCTGCTCCGTCCTCTTGACGTAGACGCCGCCATCGCTCCCCGACGAAACTCCAGACGGAAACCGGAACAATGATTGCGGCCAGCTGAAGGATGGTGATGAGCGAGAGAAAGTAGGTGTCAGAAATCACATGGAGAGAACGTGAAAAGCGAAGAACATTGCGGCCATTCCTCAGTCCTTTGAACGCTTTAAGCTTGAAGAAGCTGAAATCGAGCTCGGATGGATGAATCTAAGAACTGGAATTTTTAGAGAGAGAGAGAGAGAGAGATGGAAGGTTTCCTTTTGTCTCCTTCAAACACTGGAGTTGCTACAGACAGTCAACAGTTGGAGTGAGAATGACGATGCTTCAACGGAGGTTTGAATTGTTTCTGCAGAGTAAAATTTAAATTAAAATTAAAATTAAAAAAAAATTACCGGCTAATTTGTTGTGGTGGGGATTGGAGTGGGGCCCCTGGATTATTTTTGAATGGAACGTGGAGGTAGTAGTGGGGGGTGGTGCCGGATGGACGAAACTGGCCCGCGCTTGTGCCGATTGTTTGAACTTTTTGAATCATTGTTATTGAATCGGCCCACCGGTTTTTTTCCAAAAAAAATTCCGGTTATTATACTCCGTATTGCGTATAATAAAATAAAACATCTAGTTTTTTCATTTTATTTATTTAAATATAAAGATATTAACACAAAAAAAATAACTTTTATGTTTGAAATCTATATATAAAAAGTTATTCAAATTATAAAGTACTAAGAATATTTTATTTTATAAAATAATAAATAAAAACAAAAAATATATAAATAAACCAAAATTTAGTGATTTTCGAATAATAAGTATATTGCTCTTTTTAGAATGGAGGGAATATTTCTTGTCTTTTTGGATACTTTTGAGAGTGACTTGGTGTTTGATTCTCAATTCTATTAATCCAACTTACGAATTTGGAAATGTGAGATTGTGGCGGATCTAGAATGAAAAATAGTTGAAGACACATTTTGATAAAATAAACAAATAACAATACTGAATTCAGGAGCAAAACCCCCCCATTTTTTACAAAGTGTAGAAAAAATTATTTCAGCCATGAATTTTGATAATTGTAAAGAGAAAGTCATACTCCCTTTGCCCCTAAATTATTTACTCTTTACACAAAACAAAGTAAAATTTTAAGTTTTTTCTATTCGTTTTATTTAAAGATATGTATAAGATATGTATATAAATAAAAAAAATAAAATTTACATATTTAAAAAGTACATTAAAAGTTTTACAAAATAAAAGGTGAGAAAAATATTTTATTTTATCAAATAGTGAATGACGACACGTAAATAAACAAAAATTCTTGTAATTTTTGAATAGTCAAGTGTAAAAATCATTTATGGATGGAGGAAGTAAAATATAAAAATATAGAGTATAATTTACAAGGGTATAACATTAGTTAGTTTAATTATCATATTATAAACAATTTACTTTCAGTTTCTATATAAGTATTTCATATTCTGGTTTCCTTTTGTCTCTTTCAAGCAGTGGAGATGAATCTAACTCACTTCTATTTGTTTGGGAGGGGCTGATCTCTTTTAACTTGATGCACTTTCTCCAAATTGTGGACTCCTTTCACCCGACCCAAATAATATTATTTTAAGTTGGACGAGTCTTTCATACTACTCCGTATTTATCTTTATTATTACTTCGACGGAGTGATCCACATCACACTATTTTACATTGATGGGCTAGGTTCCCAACAAATTCAAACAGTATTTGTTTTAGTTTGATATTTAATCAAAACAAGTTTAGTTTGAAATTATATGAGGAGAATCTACATGCTAGTATTATTGAATTTGATAGTAAATTTTTACATTCAAACACTTCGAGCGAGCGATATCAATATTGTACGAAAGTAGCCTAACTAGGATAAATACCATATGTTAGACAAAAGTAGAGTTGTATTCACAATTACTTGTAATAAATTTTACATGAGGTGGCCAACTATGCAAAACATCGTTTAAAACAAGAAAACGACAAAGAACATCATGGTCATTGCATGAACTTCAAGTGAGGGTTGATTTCTTAAGTATTTTGTCCGCAATATTGACTGTTCCATGAATCATACAAGTAAGACTCAATTTTCTCTGTGTGCACGAGGAAAAAATTATTTTCACATGTAAAACTAAGAAAGCGCACTAATAGCAATAGGGTCCAAAAATCTTACTGCTTACGTCCTGAGTTTTTTTGATTAGTTTCATTTTGGCACGTAGGCCAAAGAGACTATAATGAGAAGAGAATTTGACCAATTAACCATTGCTTTAGAATTACAAACAAAAATTCTTTTATTAATCACAAAAATATATGTCGATGTGATTGTTAGTCGATCAATAACACAACTCAACTCAAATGAAAACTTTGATTGAAAAACAATCTCTACATTTGATTAACGATTACATCTCTAAGGTCTGCTAGCCATTTTTGAATTGAGAACTCATTTCATGTTACCACCATCTTTTTTTCCAGTCCTAAATCCGGTGACTAGAAACTTCTCTAATCCGGTGAGGCTTTCGATTGTTGCACGATGTTGTTAACGATGCTTCGCCTAAGATTTGTTACATGTCGGACACAAAAGATAACAATAAAGTTTGAACAGAGCTAGAGAGAAGAAGAGGAAAGTGAACAAATATACTAAGACAGTCCAAAAATGAAAAGTGGACAAAAACACAGAGATGCAAAAAATAAAAACTTTGTCAGAAATATTAATTTGGGACAAATCATAAAGGAAATAAAGAATATTAATTTGAGATGGTAACAAATGTAACAATTCCAAAATTAGAGACAACTTTTTTAATTAAAAAAGACTTATAAAATTGTCTAAAAATTACCATTGGACTCGAACTCAAAGTCCAATTCCAAGTCATTAAAAAACTAGGGGTGTTGCGAGAATCGAACTCACGACCTCTCGCACCCGAAGCGAGAATCATACCACTAGACCAAACACCCAGTTGTTACTGACTTATTTTCACAGAAACATATTCTTCTCAGCACGTAGAGGATAAATGAATTGTTTATGGCACAGAAAGTGGACGTCAACAAACCCCGGAACCGGAAACCAGCCAACGATGAGTTCAGGAACGTTATCCGGACCGCCTTCATCCGCCCCGCTGATGATATTCCGCCGCCTACTCCGGCCGACGGTCCCTCTTCTCCTCACCCTCTGCCCGAAACATCCGATCCGCCTCCCCGCTCAAACGACGCCTCTTCTTTTCCCCTCCACGCGCCCCCATTTCTCATCTGCAAATTCTCGCCCTTTCTCCTCAAACTCAACACTCCAATCCATTCTACAGCTTTCAAATTCCTCTGAGGGAATCGAGGAAGAAGTTGATTCCCATGGGACGGAGGAAGTTAATATACCTGAACCAGTAGCTGTTACCATCGAATCTCCGGAAAATCGGAGGCTGCATGCGAAGCTTCAGGGACTCACCGTGAAGGAGAAGAAAGAGTTGGGTTCTTATGCAAACAGCTTGGGGAAGAAGCTCAAATCTCAACAGGTCGGAAAATCTGGAGTCACAGCTACTGTCGTGGCTGCCTTGGTTGAAACCCTAGAAAGGAATGAGCTTTTGAAGGTGATTTACCTTTAAGTACAAGGAAATTTTTACTTGTTTAAAATGAGCTTAACTTTATTTGAATATACTGTTTACTGCATTGGACTTATTGGTCGATAAGCTCGCTCATTGCCAACCTGATTGTAGCTATTCATGTTCATCGTTTAGATAGCTTTTTCAAAATGCGTAGGAATCCAAAAAAAGCTTTTTACCCAGCATTTCTTGTAGAGATTATTTAATCCCAAAAAGTTCCTTGCAAAATCGTCGTCTCGAACTTTACCAAATCATGATTACTTGCTATTTTTTGCATTTAATCACTGAATATCTTCAAGGAAGCATACTGAAAAATTTGCGATTGCTGTAAGAATATATAACATATGTATAGCCCGGATAATACCCACATAGGCGCTCGTGTCTCATTGGTAGCTTAAGCCCTTTGGACGAGTAGCGGAGGAGTGTCGTATGTTTGGTTGAAGAACTTCACAGAAGGGGAGAGAAGTTGAGGAGCTATAGATTCCTCCAAACCTCTCGCGTCCATTTTTCCAATTTGGAGTAAAGGAGCATTTCATAGGAGTTAGGAATGTGTCTGCATGTGAGTGTATTTGTATAATATCTTTTTAATCTGTTTAATCAACATTGTTCTGCATTTTTATTGTCAAGCATATAGATTACTATATTTTTACTTACAACAAAAAATATGATTTGTACCAAACACTATTTTAATGCTATAAAGTTTTCTAATATTTTGCTGTAATTTTTTGTCACTCCTTTATTGACCCAAACATAACATCTTTGTAAACTCTCTCACTTTTCTCCATTCTCTCTTTTGAACCATACAAAAGCTATCTTTTTATCGTTTAGGACCTGCCACCTAATTACAGTTATATCCCTCCCAAGTCCTAACTCCTAACCCCGGCCGAATTGGTGCTTTTTACATTTTTAAAATAAGGGTGCATGGCAGCGTTGCAGGGACTGCATATGAGTAGTAGATAGCTTTCTTTGTTGTGCTCTTATGCAAATGGTGATTATTACTTTTAGGTAACATTTCGTAAGCTGTGATTAGAATCTAATGCAATCAATTGCATGTGCTTACAACTTTATATTAAAAATAGTACTGTAAAATAAATATTTGATTGTACGACATCATGGTTTGTCAATGCACATTACAATCCATGGATTATCTTCTATCAGCTTAAAATACATGGGAGCTGCCCGGGAGAGCTAGATAATGTAGTTAAGCAATTGGAAGAAGGCACAGGATCTGTTGTGGTTGGTCGAATTGGTAGGACTGTGATTTTATATAGACCAAGCCTTTCCAAATTAGAAGCTGAAGAGAAGAAAAGGGTAGCCCAAAGAGCTTCTCCGATCAAAAATATCTTGAAGAAACCGGCTAAGGTGTGTCTGCTTTAACTGTATGCATTGTGAAATTTTGGTATCTCAACTAATTTTTGTAACATTTTGGTATCTTACCTGCATAGATATGACGTCGACCGAAGTCCTTGTACTATTTTTTACCAATTCGTCTTGCATGACAGCCTAACACAATGCTTGGTTCAAGGAATGCAAAAGGGAAAAGAAAAGGAAATGGCAAAAAAAATGTGCTGTTTGGTTAGAAAGGAAAATAAAAGAAAATAGGGAAAAAAAGAAATGGTAAGTAAAATGTGAAGTGAAATTAGAAATGTGGTTTTCCTTCCATTTTTATGAAGAAAAAGAAAGAAAAGAACAAACTCCCCCCTCCCCTCCCTCCCCCCTCCCTTGCCCCACCCACCCCCAAGACATCCCTCGCCCCACAACAATCAAACAAATAAGTTATTAAACAGTAATTCTCTCGCCAATTTCCCTACTAAACAAGATTAAGTTTTTTGGTTTCTTTGGCTTTCTTTTCCTTTTCTTAGCATTTTCCTTTCCTCCGTATTTCCTCGAACCAAGCATAGTGTAAAACTTTTTCATCTTGGACACACCATCCAATGTTCTATTAATGCTTTCCCTTTCAATCGAATTCCACATTCTTAACTATAACTCTTTTTAAAGTGCTTTTGATGACTGTCACGCGCAACAAGAATGGCCCCAAAATGAGGCCTATACATGAGTTGTGATACCAAACTATTAAAAGTTCCATTTATCAAATTTTTCATCGTAAAATTTGCAGGAGACGGGAGTAGAGGCAAGACCATCACACCGAGGTCACAGAGGGAGTAGCAGATTTAAACCGAGGTCCCTAGGTACGTCCCTAACTTGAATTGGGATGCCCCATCAATCCCTATCTGGGTCAAGCCTAAGCAACAGGTAATGTATGTGGTGACAAGGAGTAACATTTGGGATTTATAACACTTCCAATAGCTAAGAATATGAGATGGTTGAGTTCCTCATTCCATGTCAAAATTTCCAATCACACCGGGTTTTAAGCCGCTCTTCTTAATGACTGTAATCAACCCTAATCGGCGAAGCGTATGACATTGCAAATGAGACGTATGCTGTCGGAAGAGCACAAGGCAGTGAGGGCAAATGCATTTGAATGGATTTGTTGTGTATGCCAATTTTGTACTACATATTTACATACCTGCTATTTTTAAACAAGAATGGTGTGGATGACATCATGGTGAATCAAATCTTGAATTGGTTGTTCGTTATAAGGAAAAAATAATTAAGTAGACTACTAGAGGGTGGGACTAAATCAACCCCACTCACTTAGATTGACTAAATTGGCTAAATCTACCCTACCTCCGTTCAAAAACACAAAAAAATACATAACCACATATTAATAGAGTTTTTGAGAGAAAATTTTATATTTTCACCATTTCACTATAATACTAGTATATACGATAATTTATCTCCCTATTAACAATATATATATTAACAATAGATATGTATATCACACTCATAAATAGATATCTTGTATCTAATTTCTAAATTTATTTGTGAGTAACTAAATACCAGTGATTCACTATATTCAACTATATATACACATTAAGAGTTTATTGATTTTGGCCCAAGATGATGGTGTACATGATTGAGAGAATTCAATGAAGTCCCAAGAAGCATATTAAACATAAGAGATGTGCTTCTTGCACACCACAATGGTACATCATAATTTTTGTACATCAAAGTTTTGCATTGACATAAAATACAATGCAACACTGGCATGATACTGACATTATGCCAATGTTGTATTAGTATTTTGTGCTAGTGTAAAGTTTTGGTGTACAAAATGATATATAAATGTGGGCATACAAGTATTATTATTATTATTATAAACATAATACTATAGATAATTATCAATGAAGAAATCGATTATCAAAGGAGTAACTGATAATAAAATTTCATTACTTCATCGGCATATGCATGTGTGACCATGGAGTTTTGGTATATAGTCAACAAAAAGAAACTAGTACCTTTTTCTTGCACACACATACATTTTACAATATTTCTTAATAAAAACACTTTTAGCTTTTTTTTCCCAATAAAATTTCAACAATTTATAGATTTTATAAAATGTAAGGGACAATTTTTGTGTTTTTATCTTCTCATTAATGGGACTTGTTTTCGAGCGACTTTTTATTGACTTATTAGGTAACTAAAAATCTTTAACTTTTCATTTACACATTCTGTTGAGGTCAATCAGTCCCATCTCGAAAAGAAATTCCAGCTTTTGCTTCGCTTCCAATTAATCGTATTTAATGAATATATGTACGCTTGCGTATTCTACCATCAATCTAGTCGTTGTAGTATAGTGGTGAGTATTCCCGCCTGTCACGCGGGTGACCCGGGTTCGATCCCCGGCAACGGCGGTTTTTTTTCCTTTATCATTTCATTCGTTGCTCATTCCATAATGCACTGTAGTTTAATTAATTGTAAGAATTCCGGCTTCTTAACTTCCATGGCCGAGTTCGATTCCTTACCCCCCCCTTTGAAATTATTTTTTGTATTTTGCAGCTCTCTTTATTATACTCCCTCCGTCCCATTTTATAACGTATGTTTCGGTTTACGATGTTTGACTGAAATTATTTTCAAATCATTTTATATGACAAATGGTATACAGTTAAAAAATAAAAATTACATATTAAAATACTACATCAAAAGATCTACAAAACTAGTAGTGACAATAGTATTTTATTTTATCAAATTACTAACGAAAATAGAGAAAGAAAATGAATGAAGTTTGACCATGTGAATAGTGAACAGACATTATAATTTGAGACGGAAGGAGTAATTGAGTAACACGCACTTCAAAGGTTGAATACATGTGTAGTTTATTATTTTGCATTCTTGTGTATCGTAGCGAAAGAATATTTATTCTAATTACTCGTATCCTTACGTTGCATGTGTTATTTATACATCATCATTACACTATACAATTATTTTAAATGAATTTGTAGGAGTTTTTAAATTAGGGAGATAGCACAATTTTATAAATAAAAAGACAGTATTCCGAACACATTGAGTATATGTTAATTAAAATACATGTTTCTCTACTAGCATAGTTGACATGTTAACATATGATCGTGAACATTATGATTTGGGTATAATCATATATGCGAGTTGAAAATATGGAATACATAGAATAATAGATCAATACAGAGTATAAGAAACATGATCTCTTTAATGGTCGATTTTTAAGAGGCCTTAAATTTACTCGATGCAAGGTACTTTATTGTTTTCTTTCTTGATTTTATTAAATGTGCGCAATGCATGCCTTTCAATTTTGTTAAAATATTTCAAAAGTCATGATGGTCGGTTAATTATGAACATATACTGTGGAGCGGGTACTTTTTATTGGGGTCGTGAGATGCTATGTGTTTGATCTCTCAATGGCACTTTTATTTTTTCTATGAACTTTGATGTGTTGCACGCTCAACAATTTGTCTAAAATATACGGAGTAGAAATTAAAAATCTAACAGAATAACATTGATTTTGAATTTTATTATCAAGCGTAGAATGTACGTAATATATAATCTCAAAATAACATAAACCTATTTGATTTAATAAAATGTATTTAAAAATATTAAAAGTACTCATACTAAAACAAGTAAAAAAAAGAAAAAAATTTGACGCGCAAATAGTATTTGTAACTTTAGTTTTGGAGCACAAAGAGAAACTTATTGTTCTCCTACTTTCAACTTTCAAGTAGAAGCAAAGTCTACATATACACACTCCTCATACGCGGCATTTTACTAGCTTTATTGTTGTCACTAAACCATTTGCTCTTTCAAACAAGACACAGATTTTATTTAGTATTATATAAATTATAAATATAATACTGTTAATTGATACTCCAAGCTAGATTACAAACCCCACGCAAGAAATAAAAGAATTCTAAATTATTATTCAGCCTAATTTCAAAAATCACAATATATAATAATAATAATAACTAATATTACAATCTAATCTACCTATATTTAAAGAAAATCACATCTTTTCGGGCATTTTCACGCTTGCATTACAAAATACTCAAGAAACAAATAGCAAGTAAATGCACAAGAAAATGCAAAGAGGGGCAAAATTGGGGGAGGGAGAGAGGGAGGAGTGGGCTTAGAGAGGTGGAATAACCTTGCTAGCAAGAACTTGTTCTCTTCTCTCTATATAACTGAAGGGGAACCATCCTGCTTTACCCTTGCATTCACCTTCTGCCCAACCATTGCTTGAGACCTGACAATTCATGTATTTTAACCATTACTCTATGATCTCCGCCTAGGGTCCTGCCTAGACGACATGCCCCTACAATCCCACAAAACGTAGGGTTGGTGGAAGGTATGTAGGCAGACCTTACCCTTACTAGGAAATAGAAACTGTTTCCAAGAGATTACTGGGTCAAAAACAGAAGTATGGACAAACAAAGAAACCATAGCAACACGAACGAGGAAAACGCAGACAAAAGAAACACACAAGCCGACTCCAGCAACTAGACACTAAGCTCACAAGCACCAACTATATAGACCAAGGCATAAAAACACTCCATCTTAAACTACAAACTAAAGCCCACAGTCTATAGCCAACTACTAAGTCATTCCTATCTAAGATCATATCCTCGATAAGATCCTAGTAAGTCATGTCTAAGCACCTACTTATTTCATGTCCAAGTGTGCCTAGGCACTAGAGTTTAGTCTACTGCCTAGGGTTCTCTTTAGAACAACACCAATAAGTGCATAAAAACTTGAGTTCAAATCACAGCAGGTACATAAAAATCCAACATCGTTTGGTTTGAGTATTGATGAATAAAAAAAAAAGAACATGAGACTAAAAAACCAACCTTTCGAATAACAACACAATCTCCAACTGATAAATTAAGCTCCACATCAGATTCGGCATGATGTGGATATACCACCTAGCACCAAAGCAAAAGAGAAAGAAAGATAAGACAGATTAAGGCTTCGTTTGTCTCTGAATTTTGATGTGTTATCTACTAAAATATTAAGGAGTATATTCATAAAATTTGTTCGTCATTAACATATAATAATCCCTCAGTCCAATAATTTTATTTCTTGGTTTGACTTAGCTTGCTTTTTGATAAAATAGAAATTGTGTCACCACAAAATTGATTTCTAACCATAAAATGAGAACAAATCTTTGGGACAACTCAAATAGGAAAACAAGGAAAAGACTACGGGACCTTGTTCCTTGTATGTCATAGAAGACCACTTCAAAAAAAAAGCCATTTTCCTAAATAAGTTCCTTTTATTTTTATAAGTTAAATAGTACTTGTATATTATACATATACCCACTTAACTTCCACAAAAAATAAATTTTCAAGAAAACATTTTTTCACTTCAACGGTTCAACCCGAGTCTATGTACTCACAGTGATGTCTAGAATTTCTCCTTTGAAAATTGGAAGGAAGAGAAAACATAAAGAGTACTTACTTCCCCAAGAAAGTAGCCCATGCTATCAGTTGAACCATTTTGCATAGGAGAAGTCGACACACTGCTTGCTTCTTCATATGACGGAGGTGGAGGAATATTATTTACATTAGAAGAATCTCCAACCCTTTCGTGCTCCAATTTCATCTGAATTATTATAAACAAAAAAAAGAAGGCCATCAACTTCCTTATTACCTTATGAAGTTAAGTGGTGGTTAGAAAAATGATACAATCAATACCTCCCCTTCTAAATGTTCAAGTATCTGAAGAACTTTAAGATGGTAAGCACGTTCTGATTCAACCTAACAACAGTGGAAAAGCTAACATTAAATACTTCCTTTTCTGATAATCTTCCTATTTTTTGCTACTTCAACTAGACACAGAATCAGCTACCATGGCAATTAGCCGCTGCAGTGTCAACTTCTGTTGTTGTGCTTCAACAGCAGCCAGAGCAGAAGCAGCTTCCTTCCCCAGAATAGTCATATTGGACTTTAGATCTTGTAATTTTGATTCTGCAGCTTCCAGCTTCATCTCCATGTCATGATTGCCTGTTGCCTCCCTAAGTTTTGCTTGTCGTTTGGATATTTCAAGGATCTATCTAGGTTAGATATAAAAAAGAATTACATATTATTGAGCCAAATATTTTCCTTCCAAATGAAGAGTGGTAGAACAAACACATGTAAATACACTTATTGAATTTGAGCACATTACCTACTTTCTTTCTCTAGTATTTCCAAGTTCCAAATGGACCTTGGGGTTTAAAGGCAAGAGAGTGTAGAGAAAGAATCCAAAAATTCCCCACTATAGTGTTCATAGGCAGTCCATCCAGAGTCCAGACAGGGGTGAGCAGAAAATATTTACCCCCTTTAAAAAAGTTTGCATTCACACACCCTTCCCAGACCCCATGGGATTTTATTACTGGGTTTTGTTGTTGTAACTTGTTAGAGTAACGTCAAAAGACCAGACATAGCATATTTTCCAATGTTCATTTGAATACCTGTGCTTCTGTCTCTTGGCGCATTCGATCATATTTGTGAGCTAGATTTCGGGCATCTTCCAATGGAGCCCCCACTACCATAGCTCGTAACGGATCTGCAACCTGATAAACAAGACACCGACCAACTTTTTATTCTTCTGATGGCAAAAAGGATTAGCAACAGAGTGAAAGTTTAGGAAATAAATGAAAACACTAATGAAAAATTATAAAAAAAAGGCCACTTTAGAAAGCTCAACCTCACCAACTAGGTATCATAAGCTCCTACAACCTTGAAAATCTTTTACTCTCCATCCCAAAAAGAAAGAGGGTCATGTTTGGACATAATGTGATTAGTATTAGAAATAATAGTGATCTACTAATTAACCTTTGTTCCAAGGGATCTAAGGAGATTCCCACGCTCCTTCTCCATATAAGCAAGAGCTTGGGAGAAACATAATGCAACTCGTGATAATGTAGTAGCAGTGGTATATGTGTTTCCAGACCCATATTTCTTGCAATCTTCTGATAGTTTAGTTCCTGTGAGAGAACAATTACATCTTGGATTATGAAAACACTACACTTGTGAAATGTGGAAGCTAAACAAGGATAAACCCTTGAAGATTTGAATGATGACCTATCTCAACCAGTTTGGACCCAGTAAAAATGTAGCCTTCAACTCCACGAACAATATCCCTTTGTAAATGCTGAAACGCCGATTGCCAAACAGACGTTTTAGAACAACCAAATGAGAGGGGCAATATAATATAATGAGGAGATCTATATCAGAGAGGTATGAACAGAATAAGACTGAAGGAGTAGATACTATATCCATAGAATGCAGCAAACCTTGGCAGCTCTGGTAGATAAATAAAGCAACTCCAGTTTCTGATACTGGAAGAGTTCGGCTTCATCAGTCACAATATAATCTGAGCCACCATAACCCCCACCTCCAAACTGCTTGAGTACAGCCTGCAACAAACACAGAATGCCAAAGATAAAATTAACTTAACTATTTAAAATATCACCAACTCCTATCCCAGATCACTAGCACCAGAAAAAAGATCACACATTTGGAATACTGATTGGTGTAGCCAAACTGAAGACTGACGAAATTAATCATAAATGCACATAAAGCATCACAATATTCAAACAAAAAATCGTAGTGCTCAAATGCGATTCCTATTATAACAGTTTCAAATACCACCCTCCCCTAAGACCTGATCAAATTACCACTCTGAAAAAAGAAACAGCCACACATATTCATATCCTGAAGCAGAGATAACTAACTTCAAATCAAATTTAAAAAGTTGAAAAAAATAAAAATCAAGAGCACGCATACATTCACCGTGAATGGAGAAACACCAAAAAACGTATAATCTGAATCCACGAGAAATATAAACGATACAACCATCAGCTGATACAGAAAAATGGATTCAGGGACGAATCACATTGCGAGTTTGCGACCGATAAACGCGAAATTGAAGAGCAGTGTGATCATGAAGAAGAAAGCGAATTAAAGCGGTGAGATCGTACTTGCTGCTGGCGAACAACCTGTTCCCTGAGCCACGAGGCTTGCCTTTTGATTGCTTCCATTCAGGGAGGGATTCCGATGAAATTCAATGCCGTCTCCGATGAATTATGAACGGCGGTAGGATTCTGGTTTTAGGTGAACCGGAGATTTTGCGCAAATTACAGAGCCACGTGCCAATGTATTTAGAGAACATTCAAAACATTTTCGATTTTAATCACTTTTGGATAGTTTTTTAATACCAATTGTATAGATGATGAGTAATATTTTTAAAACATTAAAATTTAAGTATTTTTAAATACTCCCCCCGTCCCCCTATATTTGTCCACTTTCATTTTTGCACACCATCCAATGCACTTCTTTAATCCATTTTATCTTGTAATTTGTATATTAAAAAATTATAAAAATTATATATAAATAATCTATATGTTAAAACAAATCAAACAAGATCACACATGACTATATTTAGACTTACACATTGAGAGAATTTGATGAGTCAAAGTGTTTAGATGAACAGTTCCAAAGGTCAAATGTGGACAAATACAGGGGGATGGAGGGAGTATTAAAATTTAATATTTTAAGTATTAAAATTTAAAACATTAAACCTAATTAGATGAGGAGTAATATTTTTAAACGTAAAAATTAAATACACTTGCTCATATTATCGTCAAATCGGTGGAGCCGTGGGGTTCTAGTGCCAGTGGAGTACGGTGCCACTCCGATGCCACTGGCATTTTGGGGGTACCTCCAGTGTTCCGTTCGCAAAATTGGTGAAGGGGTAGGAACCGTCAATTTTGCGAACGGAGCACCGGAGGTACCCAAAATGCCAGTGGCAGCGTACTGCAGTGGCACTAGAACCCCACCCTTGTCAAATACATAAGTACGAAGCAACAAATTTTGATTTTATATATTACTAAAATTATCTAAGAGTTTTGTGTGTTCCAATGAACCGAAATCATTTCACATTCTCTCTCCTTTCTCGCAAACACCCACTTCCATCTTGTTTTCCTCTATAATAACCATATAATTTCTGAAGAGATCCTCAATTGGAATTGATATATTGAGACATGCTTAATATGTAGAGTGAACTAAGCACATCATACCCAACCTCTATATATATATATATATATATATATATATATATATATTTTGGTTCAGGTGAGAATGCAATCTAATGAAAGAAATAAGAATGAATCTGGTGCATTATATTGGGAGATCTAAGGGTTAGGATTGCATCAAAATTAGGTGCACCAAGATGGTTTGAAAATGCATCATGTCGAAATGCACCATAACCCTTTGAAAATGCACTATCTCAAAATTTGAATGCAGAATGCAATCTGAGCCGCACGATGCATCAGATCCAAAGGCCAGATTTTATTCTTATTTCTTTCACCAAGGTGCATTCTTACTTGAACCAGCCCCTATATATATATATATATATATATATATATATATATATATATATATATATATATATATATATATAGAGAGAGAGAGAGAGAGAGAGAGAGAGAGAGATTAGACCTATGAAACTCATACAGTTTGGAAGAGAATCAGATCCACGTGAAAAAGGTCGGCTAACTCGATTTGGAAATGAAGTTTAGAGTCTGCCAAGTGGTAGATCGTCGAGGTAGATAGGATTAAGAAAATAAAAGTTGTCTCCATGATCTCCCTTCACTCTCCCATGCTCTACCATGGTCATGGACCGCGTTTGTTGTCTCTCAAGGACATGAGAGACAACTTTGAATGGGAGACAACTTCTTGATTTTATATAAGTCTAACATTTCTAGCCTGAAGAAGGAATTGAATTCTTGAATGCAATGCGGATATTACTATTTTCATTTCTATCATATTGTCTTACGTCTATGATTCAAATATAATTAATACAGAGTACGTTGCAATTGTGCATTCTTATATTTGTATCTAATTTTGCAAATACTAATTCACAACTCTTGCCCCCATATTTTAGTGGTGTTACCCATTGATGTATGTCATCACTACACATCGATTAATTCTCATTGTCGAATTTGTCTTTGTTGGCCATTGCATTACTAGAGTTAATTCTCATTGTCGTCGTTAATGTCTATCATCATAGCAACATTGCAAGTCTTAGAACCAAAACACTTCAGAAATTTTAATATGCATTGATTATTTTTTGTGAGTTCTCAACTTATTGTTCCCCTTGTGAGTGAGTTCAAGCTTACTACTACATTTCCTTTGCAAGTTCTCAATTTATTAACATCACAATCTAATTTTCCTTTTTATCAAGAAGGTTAGCGTGATTGAAAAGAAAAACATATTTGCATTGGTTCTAATCTGATTCAATTAAATTATGCATTGAGGGTTTGTTCTCTTCAACTTATTTGATTGATTCTGATTTAGTTAAATTTTGATCTAGTCTGATCAGATTGTAGTTATATTTCAAGTTACTCCTTATATAAAAAATTCCAATAAAAATAAGTAATAAGTAAAGAAAACAAGATCTACGTGAAACCAAACCACACATACCTCCCACACATAACACAATAATAGTGTTTGTATGATAACTGAGTTAACACCAAAATGGATACACAACTGTTAAAGGCATTCAACTGTAAAACTAATTCCCACCACAAATTTCGAGGAACAAATGACAATCAAAGCAATAATTGAAAAAAAAAATTGATGTGCTTTTAACCCAAGTTAAGAGGATTACAATTGTTCTTATAAAAAGACAGTGAGGATTACAATTGATGTGAAAAAATATAAGTTGCGAGGATTACAGTTGTTTTTTCCGAACTTTGAAATTTGATCCTAATAAAAGTGAGAGATTACAATAGTTCCAGAAGAGGGGATTTAAAAAATCTCAAGCCCCAAGTATGAACTATGAAACATCAAATTCTAAACCAATACCTTTTCTCCAAGGCACATCCCGCAATGGGCTCAAAGAATTGCCAATTCATTCCTTAAGTGCGCTCACAAATATACACGAGCTACGGCAAGGCCCACTGCAGAGATGGACACAAGTGTTCCGATGCAATATTTGATGACTTCATACTTTGCTGCTTCAAGTTGAGCCCTCAGTTCTTGAATTTCCTGTTTATGAATCATTTCACTCTTTCAAACACAGAACAAAAAAATATACTCCATCCATCTCAGTTTACGTGTCCTCACGCAACGAGTCAAGATAATTATGTTTTCATATCATTACTTGTTATATTTAGTTTAGTTTTAGTTTCTGTTTGTGCGTTTTTATGCCTTAGTATGTAACATGTGCTTGTGTGTTTTTTGTCTTTATGTCTAGTTTTTAGAGTCGGCTTGTGTGCTTCTTTTGTCTGTCCCTAATTTGTTCGTGCTTCAATGGTTCCTTTGTACTTCTGTATCCAAACCGGGGGGGGGTTCTTGGGAATAGTCTCTCTACCTCATAGTAGGGTTAAGATATGCGCACACACTCTCTCCATACCCTACTTTTGTGGGATTCTAATGGGTTTGTTGTAGTTGTAGTATAAGCAAATAAAGCTATACATTCAAAATATACATCCAAAATGCTATAAAACTAGTTACTTGATTATTTAATCTGTGTATGAAAAATACTACCAATGCATGAATAGTAGCTAAGGCGTGTAAAAATGAGGCAATGGATTATCACTTGACAAAGGAAGTAGAACGTACTCGGTCAAGCTTGCTGGTAAGGTTAGTAGTTTCTGCATTGTGCTTTGCAAGCTCATCACGTATGCGCCTGCAATCAGTTTGCAGCTTATGAAGCAGAATACCATTATTTCAAGGATAATAGACACCAATATCTAAGTATTGTTGTTATTTATTTTCCCTTACCCCCTTTCAAGATTTAAATCCAATCGCTGGCCAGCAGTGAGCTTATCAACCTCATACCTGTTAAGGGTATGAGTATCAAATGTTACTTGAAAGCAAAGTGTGAATAAAATATGAACTAGCACATCAAAATGGATGCAAAGGACAATGTGACACACCTCAGTTCACTTCGCATTTTCTCAATGTCATTTAGGAGCTTTTCAGTCTCACGTTGCAACAGAGAAAAATGGTGTTCCTACCACCAGAATAAAGAGAGTCATTGACACAGACAATTTAGATGAAACTATGCACATACATCATGTAGTAATAACGAATGAGTAATGAGCATAGGGGTAAAAACTAACCTGTTGCAAAACAGATAATTTATTTTCATGGCACAGAGATTTTGAAGTAAATCTAAATTTCTAAACGTGAATTGCTTCTAAATTTCTAAACGGAAAAAAAGCAGACTCCAAGGATTTATTGGAATCAAGCACATGGTTTGGTTGAAGTCAATAAGAAGCCTATCTCGACACATTCACATTATACTAATGGAAGATGCAAAGAGACTCTCTGATGGATGAAAAAAGATTCACACTCCCTCCACTTCAAGAAAGGTGTTGATTTATCATTTAAGAAGCTTTACACATGTTAAGAAATAAGTACAATACATAAAACACCCTTAATGAATATTCTTTCCCTAATTACTCCTAGTGAAAAACATATTACTGCAATTACAATTTACAAGGTAAATAAATGAAGTGGTCAATGAAGGGCGGATTAACGAGAAAGGATCCTATTGTACCTGGAAATAGAAAACCTACACTTTGCAAAATAAAAAAACTAACAAAACGTCACTTATTATCTACACGTTATGCAGCACTAAAATTTTTAGCAATTTATGAACTCTGAATAAAATAGGCTCGAGTGTGTAACACTGTAATGTAAGAGGAGCGCTAGTATAGGGGAAAAGCAAAGTAATTCTTTACCTGAGAGCTCTGCACTGATGATTTAAACTTGGAAATGTTGGCTTCTTGGAGCATCTCAGACTACAAAGAAAGAAACATAACAGAGAAGATCTTTAGAGAAGGCGGCATCTTCGTTTAATCACTTTAAGCACATGAGTGTTTTGCACCATAGAAATGCTTACTCTACCACTAACAACTTCCACGAGACACATTAGCCAAAAAAAGTAAAAAAAATATGACAAAATTACCTTCTGCATATCCGCCTTTGAAACCAAAGAACGTGCATTATTTTCCAAACTATCATTCAGAACTTTCGTAATTGCAAATGTTATTGCCTCTGCCTGCTTTGAAGGCACCCCATGTGCTTCTAATCCCCTCACCTGTCAGCACACCAAATTCCTATGAATAACAACACAAGAAGCTAATGCAAGTAGTAAAATAGAAAACAAATAAGGAGTCAAACAAAACCCCAAAATAATTACTTTGAATAACTTCATTTTCAGTGTTTTATCTTTTTGTTTGTCCTATTCTACAATTCAATTCCATAGAAATAATTCTGAACAAAATTTTAAGAGGATCATTTGTTTACTCCTGCATCCTTCTAAACCTAAACAAACGAACAAACAGCAGCAGCAGCTATAATGATGACAATAATAATTACCAGAGCAAGCGTATCCACTAGAAAGGCACGATTTCCACTAGGTTTAACAAGCTCCGAGAACGACCTAAAATCGCATCTGTTCGGTGAATGCATAGAAGGCGGCGGAATGAACGAATCGGCGTCACAAACGCCTCTCGATCGGAACTTATTCGTATGCGAGGAAGAACCAACTGGAGACGGATTGAGTCCTCTAGGGCGCAATTGAAGAACGAGCTTACGAACCGCCATTTTTTCAATTTATATAAAATAAAATTGACAATCTCGAGCACGTCACGGAAAGCGGCGCATTACATCTGAGATTCGCCGCGGAGCCGATGAGCAGTGAAATTCAAAGAATCGGAAGAAATGATCTCTTACAGGCTTTACTCAAACGTCAAGGAAAAGAGAGATTCCGGAAAGGGCGCAACTCAGAGGTTCCAAATCTTCAGTTCATTGATTGCCGAAGAAGGAAGACGATGGGCGCTGTCTTGGGGAAAAAGCTCTTCTTCTTTTCGTCCACGAGGAGGGAATGGCTGAATAATAAAGTTCCGGGCAAATGGGGTGAGAAAAAAAACCCAAACCAATCCAAAAAAAAAAGAAAAAAAAGGTGATTCAGGAACTGAAAATGTGAATAAATGACCAAAAACCAATTTTTTCATTTGATTTTAGATCAACATTTTTTATACAACCGTGCTACAATTTCTCTAAGGAGTGTACCTTAAAATTACACCAAAAGTGTACAATAACATGTTAATGATTGACACTGATACAAAATGCTAGTGCTATAAAAAATTTATACTAACATTTTATATTTGCACAAACCATCATCCTAACATCACACTAACACACAAGGACAAGGAGAGAGCACACCTACGGTACATAATTTGAGGTACAAATCTTGGAGTACAAATAACTTAATTCTTTTTCATATTAATTCTTATTGAATATACAAGTCTGAAAAAATATAAAATTTCATAACCAAAATTTGTTACGAGTATGAAGGATAAAAAGTACTCCGTATTATGAACCATAAACTTCTTTCTAAAAACAAAATTATAAATATTTGAGATTTGGTCAGAAGAAAAAGACGACTTTCTGAATACAGAATATAAATCCATTAATACTATGTGAAGAAAGAAACTACATTTGAGTATTAAGGTTTCAAGTCTAGTTTGAGAAAGGCATTTCTGATTAGCATTCGCGTTTTGAATAACATTTTAACAATATAGATTAATTTTGAAAAACGCTAACGCTAAAAGATGCCGTCTAAAAGTCTTTTCAAAGAGCTAACGCTAACCTCTAACACAAATGCCAAACGAGACCTAAATAGAGTACATTTTACGTGTAAAAATGCAAAATTCCCTTCAAAAAGTTAAAGGAAAATAATAACAATGACCAACGTCCTAGTCCATATACAAAATTGAAAATACATTTATTTGGTCAATCAATACACACGAAAAAACTGGCAAATGAAACTTTTGTTATGAAGAAAAATTATTCAAGGCTATTTGTGGTACACCATTTTTTGAATAAATCCTCATGACTGCGTTTAAGCAGTATATAAAAGTCTATTCTACAAAAATGCTAGCAACATATGTTAAAGCATTAAAAAAATAAAGTTGAAAGTACAGTTGTGCCCCTGACCTGCTCAGCTGATACACCTCAAAATGGCCTATGGTAGTATTTAGTAAGAACAGGAAAAACAAAATCATAACTGTACAGGATTCAACATGTATTAGCCGAGATGGGGGAGAGAAACACTATGGTAACTATCTGACTAGACATGAAGGTAATCACACCGAGCCCCCTTCCTACACCGGCCACCTGTATTGTAGGGGCAAGGCGTTTGACGTTTATAACTGCTGCCTCTAGGACCACCACCTGATGGTGGCTGTCTATTGGGACCACTGCTTCTCGGGCGTGGAGGAGCACTTGGCCCAGACCAACCCGGATTTGCATTTGGAGGAGCCATAGTTTGAACACCCGGATTACCTGGTTGTGGTTGTGCTTGTGGTGGTGGTGGTGGGATCCAACCAGGGTTCATGTTTCCAGGCATTGGTCCAGTGGGGGGCATAACCCAACCCATGTTGGGTGGGGGGGCCATTGTCTGAACAGGAGCTGCCCAATTCATATTCATGGGTGGTGTGGGCCCAACCCACCCCATGTTGGGATTACCCTGCATTGGTCCCCAAACTGGGGCAGGACCGTTCTGCGGCATCCATTGTTGAAAATTAGGCAAGGTTTGTGGTTGCATGGTTTGGGGTTGCATGCTTGGCTGGTTACTCTGAGTCTGACCCATCCAATACTCTGGTTGAGGCAAAGCTAAGCCCCCACCAGTATTTGAGAAACTTGCCGCAAGATTCTGAACAGCGGATGTAATGCTGCCTCCCCAGTTGGCATACCCGATCTGAGACTGCCCTGGTGTAGTAGGAACAGCACCCAAGACATTAGCATCCATGTTTGGGTTCTGAGCCGGGTGGACATTTGGGTCTTGTGTGGCATGTTGGTTGTGGACCATCATTGTGGGTTGGGGTTCACTAACTGCAGTGGTATTCATCATAGGGCTAAAAACAGTACTGGAATTTGCAGAAACATTTTCAGAGTTCATTAATGGTTGTCCCCCTGTACTCACAGATGAAGAAGATAAAAGAGAAGAAATGCCAGCTGGCAACACTAAATGAGATGGTTCAGAGACAATTCCGGTCTCACCAGCAAATGGAGTTGGAGCAGGAGTTGCATTACCTTGAGTAGGAGTGGGAGAGGGAAGGTTCATTGTGTCATTACCGCCCCACTTTTCATTACTAGCTCCAGGCAGAACCGAACCAGTAGGTGCATTTGGAGATGCATGGTTCTGATCAAGACTAAATCTATCTCCTTGCTTTTGCAGTACACTGCAAGACAAAAATCTATTCTCGATCTCCTTCTGTACCCTACCGGCCAATGCATCAGTCAGAAGAATAGAGTCGTCTTGCGTTTCTGTGGATCTCCAAATTCTTAGATTGGCGGGAAAGTATCCCGTGTTGTTCCATTTCCGTAGCTGGACCATCGAAAATGGTCCTTGGTTTTTGCCAGAAGGGTCCTGGTAATGCCATATTTTTTCAGTTTCATTAATTTTGGGCCCGCCATCATTATCTGCGACTTTTGGTGTAGGAGTAACGGGAGAAGTCACAGGTACTACCCCAGAAGCCATTTCATGTCTTGAAATAGTAGTGGTTAAGTTAACCTTCTCCACACTTCTATACTCAAGGTCTCTATCTCCTCTTCCTAGACCTCGTGGATTTTCATCAAATGTTTCATTTTTATGTGTACCATCTCCAATCATGACCGATGTATTCCTGCTTGAAAAATTTCTATCCGGTTCCCAATTCTTGGCTTGCATTTGATTAGCTCCACCACCATACGGATCTTTGGGAGAGGAGTTGCTTCGTGGGTACGGGTTTTTGGGAGAATAGTTGCTTCGCGGAGAAATTGGATCTCTCCCTCTCCTGCTAAAGCTTGAATCTCTTGACCTGACATAACTATCTGCACGAGCAAAGCAAGGAAGCAATTAATACTATATTAGGACTGAGACACTGAGCTAGTTTTCATATGAAGTGCAAAAAAGAAGCACAACCTCGCCTGTTTTCATCTGTAACAATGTCATCATCTTCAGATTCATAACTTGGATCCATTTTTGGATCATCGTGTATTTCTGGAATCTCTTCAAGCCTTCTTTGACGTTCCTCAGGTGTTTTCAGAAGTGCAAGTTTTTCAACACATTCTCTGAGTGTAAGCAATCGTTAAGGACTAATTGGACATAAGTGGTTTAAGGAACTGAACCTTACTATGGACCCCGACCCCACCCAAGTGGGGAGATGACTTTTTTTCTTCTGGCTGGCTACTCGTGCAAAGTACCGGAGTACTTGTTATGTAGCCAGCTAAAGTTGTGTATGAGAAATCACTTCTAAGTAGTGTGGGCACCACAGATCAAACCAAAGTTTACCCATTTCTAGTTATTAGCTGAATATGGAAGCCATCAAATAGTCCAGCAAGGATAGCCAGTTTGTGTTTTTCAGATAACTGTTTATGGCCTTATTTGGCAACCAGCTATAAGTTCTTAGCTGTTTGTACCAGCATTTTTGGTAGCTGTAATAAAAAGCTTGGAAAAGAAGTTTTTTATAAAACATTGTGCAAAGACAGTTGCTCTACATGCCTCTAAACATCTACTCGAAAAACAAAGCTTTTTTTGTTGCCAAAAGGATCCCATGAAGTTAAAATGCTTATTTAGTCCGTAATGGACAAAAAGAGACAACTTTACAATGATATACCCTAAGATAAATAATGGTAAATCAAAATGACAAATTAAACTTCGCTTCCCTCTATATTTTTTTGAGGGATAAGGTTGTTTACATCTAGATCCCCCCTCCTACCCCCAAAAAAAACAAAAAACAAAAAAAAAACCTTATTGGTGTTGAGACTATCCTGGGTTTCCAAAAACACGCTTTTTCAAATGCCCTCTATGTCTATTACTTTCCTCGTTCTAGGATTCTGCCCATTTCATTGAAATAATGACCCACACCAATAAACATTCAGGATAAACCTTTTTAGAAACATGAGATGGATAAAACTATAAAACACAATTATATTAATTGAAAAATTGCAACTTTAAAAAAAAGCCCATGGTTATGTACAATGAGCAAAAATTCCAAAAATCAAGATAATGATTAGTTGAACAGCATTTACACTAACCGAATCAACCCATGACAAAGTGACATAGTTTTGATATATTCATAAACCGGAAAAACTATTACTCATTCAGCCCTTCATTTATAAGACATTGAAGTGTGGCACAAAAATTTAGAAAATGTATAATTGTGTGATTGATATTGAATTGATTACGTATGAACCGATTTGGGCCACAATGATCATACCAAATATGGTAGGGGACAATAATTTTGGCACACACGAAATAGAAAAAAGAAACAAAATAGTGCGAAAGAGGAGTACATACTTTCATGAACAAAAAGGTGTGATGTAATGCAAAATATAAATGACACATAAGATACTGAAAATCAGGATCGACTCGTCGTTCAAAAGAACAGCAATGTAGCAAGCAATGAAAAATCTCCTCTTCAGTATATTCTACTATAATGCATAATTTGGTTAATTTTGGTTTGAGTGAAGTACTTGCTCAACATGACCCATATTTATTTCTTGAGTTTAAATTAATTTGTAATTTTTCATCAAATCTTCATTCCTTCAATATTTACCTCCATACTTTCCCTCAATTCCCTGGCATCTTGATTCCAAACGGACCCTAAAGTGCAAGGTATCAAGGGCATAATACTTCTAGCTCCAGCTAATTGCAAGGTCTGGGAAGGTTCAAATGCCATTATTTGCATAAAGGGCTTAGTAAAAGGGTTCTGGCCTGTGAACAACTGGACAGCAAGCAAGCAAGCAAGCAAGTAGACACTAGACAATATCATCAAGCACAAAGTGATAGACTAGTTATATTTAGTCATATGAAAACTGAGCATCGTACTGAAGGAAGCATTTCATTAAAAAGGATATTCTTTCCGGCGCCCTTTCTCACTTGCTCGATCACGAAGATTAGTTATACGCAGGATCTCTGATTCCAACCACTGCGGTGCAAACAGAAAAATACAGTATGGCTTAGGAGAACAAGGTAAATTCCATTTGAGCCTACAAGAACACAATCAATTAGAGGAATTTCTTTGGGTTTGTTGGTGGTCATGGGGAGGGCTATAATCATTTTAGACGTGCCAGATATCTGCAAATCCTACTCACTCAACAAGAATGCCCCAGAATTCCGCAGATACATGCTTAAGGGAATATGAGATAGTACCAATTGAATTTTTACTTTTGACAAGAGTGCAGAGAAATCTATGTGTGTAGTTGTGCATACAAAAACATTACAATGAGTCCAACAAAGCACTAGAATCTTACCTGTACCATACACATCAAGAAAGAAAAATTCTAAACTAGTCCCAGGAAAAAAAACTTACATCATTGACTCTTGCTTCATGCAATTCCAAGGCCTTGTCAAGAATTACACCCTGAAAAGTTACTTGTGAGTAAATTGACAACAAAATGAGTTGAGAAAATCATAAAAAGAATTCTAACAACAGTTCTTACCACTTTGGGCCTATTAATAAGACCACATTTCATACTTTGCCGTAAACGTTTGCATTCATCCTGCAAAAATCAAATCAATTCTTTGTAAACAATATAACTAGAAAATCCTTTTGGGGGAGAGTGGGGGACATTTACAGATACACTTAAGTAGAAACAAGTCTTAGATGAGTATGATGATCAAAACGTTATTATTAGGAGCATCTGGATATGAAAAACTGTTAGATGTAACTATGTAAGACACCAAACAAATGATTGATATCTTAACCTACATTGTTTAATAATATCACTTGCCACAATCCCAACTCTGTAGGATAAAGGTCTGAAGATTGTTTATAGGACATTAAGAGAAGAAGAAAATGAAAAAAATTGAAAAACTTATTTGCATTAGGTGATGATTAGGCTCAAGCACTGATATTGGGCATTTAATCGGAGTGGAAAGACATGAAATATTATGGCCACAAGCTCAAACCAGATTTATAAGGAACTCTGTGAGCTAGATCCAGAAACCAAAATGGGTAAGAGGCCTAGTAAATAAGGTGTTTCTATGGAACTAACTACATCCTAGCTTCTCTTTATTTTTTGTATATAGTCTTGATGAGTAAAATAGGACAAACTAGACTCCCACGCACAAACTCAAGAAACTTACAAACTTATAAAACAATGTAAAAACAAGCTTCAATCCTGAGAAATGGAGGTCTTAGCTGATCGTGCATATGCATCATCGAAACTTACCTCAGTGAAGTCTTGGTTTGAGATTGTATCAATTGAGATGACCTCTGTCTTGTTCAAATTCAAGATTTCAAGCAAGATGTCTGTAGTTCTTTTGCCAACTTTATATGGATCAGACGTTTTGCTCAGACCTGCAACAAAATGTATTTAGCTACGACCAAAAGTGTTACTTCTAAGCAACAAATCAAGTATAGCATCTATAGCACATAAAAATGCAAATGGAATTTGTAAGTTCTCTGTAATTACCTATGACTTGAACCAGTCTGTACATATCTTGCTTTTGATTGTTACCTGAGATCCTTATTCTCACAAAGGTACCAACAATTTTGTCTTGAAAATTCTCCACGTCTTCAAGCAGGTCCTCCATTAACTTCCGCCGACCATAGATCAAGCCGATGTTGTGCATGTCAATAGCTGCATAATCATCAAGATTAGATTGTGGTCCTCGAATGTTGCCCTTCTTACGCTTGTGTTTCCTATCTTTGACTTCCCTCACAGGTGTGTCCTGGTTTTCATCAGCCTCTATCTCAGTATCAACAACAGTGCCATGGGCATCATCGGTATGAGAATCCTCCTTTATATGAAAGTGAGATTCCAATAATTTTAACATTTCAAAATGCATAACACGTGGTTTTCCAAATAGACTTTGAAGTCTTGAATCACATGTGATTTGACTCTTCTTATTTGGAGTACGAAGTTTGTTCCTTTGGATATACTCGAGCAACAAAGTCTGCACTTCAAACTGAGGAACAACTGAAGTGTCACCATTTCGCATGTGCTTAACAAATTCAATTAGCTCTTTTGATGCCCATGCAGTGCTGTCAGGTGTAGATGTGCCTTCATTTCCAGCAATTACGGGTATATTACTCATAGCAGCTTCTTTTGAGAGGGACTTTGATCTTTTTGTGACCTTTCTTCTCTTTAAACTATTGACTTCAACCTTCTCATCAGAATTGTCAGAGCCAGAACCTCCATCTTCATTACTGTCAAAATGTGGTGCAGACTGCTCATGTCTATTGCCAGATACATCAGATCCCTTCCATGCACTTTTGGCATTCGCTATTTCTTCTGAAGATAAGGAGAGCTTCTCTTTCAAATCCATATAGTAGTCCTTGAAAAGAAACTCCCAACTACTTTTGTCATCAAAATCTACATGTATCTGGAACAACAAAAAATGAGTACTGAGTACTACACTAACAAAATCAAAGGAGTTAGCGAATAAGCCTGAAAACAAACTAGCACATGCACTGAAAGTTGAAACTACATGCGTCTAAAGCAGGTCTCATCAATAAAGACATGATATTCACATGTCACCTTCTCCAATGTGATGATATTTACTACGGAGTATTTATTATTATTTTGATCAAAGAATAAACCAGACCATAAACATTCAGCAGAAAAGAAAATATACCTCCAACGATAAAGTTTGATCAAAATCTAGATTCCCTAGTGGCATGTTTACTAAAAGCCTGCTATGTTTCTAAACCTTGTTTTCTTGATGCACTGCTAGGAAATAATCCTAGTGCTCATGATTCATAGTATTGGCTGTTTGATAATATAGAGTGTAAATTGAGAAGTGTCTATCGACCCTTGCTGTAAAGTGAATAGACAACACTTCACATTCAATTATAAGTCACAACCTTGTGCAACCTGACAGCAATGATAGAATATTAAAGTCCCTTCGGAATGACAAATTTTGGAGAACTTCTACTGAAGCTTTTGATTCTCTTGCTAACCTCCAAAGTAAATGTGCACCTATGGTAAATTCTTGCTCCATTTGTCATAGAGATGGTGAACCTGAATTGCATTTTCTAAGTTAGAACCCTTGGGCCACACAGCCTGGGTGTAATGGCTATTATGTTGCCATGGGTGATCTGGCAAGCTAGAAATACTATGGTCTCGAATGGTAATTTC